TAATAATAATAATAATACATATAAAATATAATAAATTAATAATAATACAATGATATTTGTGATACATTTTTAAATGTTCAGTTGACTGAATTTCATGTTTAATAAATAAAAGATAATAGTAATAGTAGGAGTAGCAAGTTAATAAGCAAGAATAGCAACAAAACCACTCGGTGATTTTATTTAGATATCTATTTACCTCTTACTCTCATTTCCTCGCCAATACTTTATGCAAAATCTGCATAGGTTACTTTTTAAATTTTGGTCCTTTAACATTTTTAGAATATTAAATCTGAGAATACTCACGGTAATCGTTCAGGAAGCACTGCCATCGGATGTCCCGTTTCTTTCTTTCTTACTGGAATATTGATACCCCTAGCATTTGTTGTTTTTCTTTGAAATGGTAAAGGGAGTCAATATGACTGGAGGCAGAAGGAGTTATTTTTGGAGATGCTTCATTAGTATCTGCCACTCTCCCAGAAAATGCCAACTAATGAAAGGGGCAGGAGGGAAGACTTGTTTGAATGTGTTCGGAACATAAATCTCACCTTCTCAAGGTAAGGCAGAGAACAAACGGTGGCGGTGGGTGCAGATTATGCCAGGTGAGGGTTTTTCTTTTCAGGCCACCGCAGTGGAGGGGGAAATTAGGATTAAGTCCAGCCAAGGAAATTCACGGAATGACTTTGTGCCACTCACTCTCTCCCACTCGTGTCTACCTCACAGGGTTCCTGTTGGGGCGATCATTGGAAGAGAAAACCTCAGGGAGAAAAAGGCAGGATAATGTCAACGTAAAATGGAGCCGTTCTTGATGCCGGTGTTTAATCGTGCTTAATTTGAAACAAATCCATGCTGCCTTCCAGGTGTTTACTATACAGTAAACTATAATAAGTATCCTACAAGAGTAATCCCGTGCTCACCCCCAACATGATTTAGGATCAGAGTCTGCCAGAGTGTCCCATAAGTGACTGGAGTCTCCCTTGGAAACCGGTTCCTAGAATCCGAGGGGGAGGCTCAGTTTCCATTCTAGCATGAATCCTGGAAGTGTGTATGGGGTTGAGGGGGAAACCACATTCGCCTGTTCTGGTGGCTTGGTTTACCTCTGAATCAACACTTCGAAATTCTTGGAATTGCCTTTTCTCATCCCCGCTTCCGCGAGGACCTCCTTTAGATTGGAGGACATGGTTTTACTCCCTTTCAAGACGATCCCGGTTTTCTTTTCCATATAGGGAAAAGTATAAATAATACTTCCCGAGCGAGGGTGGACGCGAGAATTACTGAATTGTTTTTGTGTGTGCGTGTGCGTGTCTTTTGCAATGAAAAGCGGATTTTTTTTTTCATTGCCCCCATCCAGTAACTTAATTTTTTTTAATGTTTTCCAATTTCTGGACTCTTGGTTGATTGTAGTTCGCTTGTTATTTGAAACCAAACTCTTTCGCATCTGGCCCATTTTGCTCCTGATCTCTCTCCTTCCCTCTCAAAATCTCACTGAGCAGGTCTTGTTCCGAGCCCCGCCAGGGTGGGGAACCTGCTTTTCAACGTCATTCCACTCGGTGGGTCGTGTTAGGTTTCAGGGAGCCTGTCGGCCCTGTAAAATTCCGCCTGGGGAGCATAATCAACCTTTCTTGCTACCCCGTTCCATGAATGAATACTGCAGTTAAGTAATATTCGCCTAAGATGCAATGCACGACCACACTTTCAGAACTTCAGTAATCTGTTTCTATTTATCCCGGGGCTCAAGTTAAAGAACTTGTGATTGGTCACTTGGGATGAGGAAAAAAGGCAAGAACAAAATACTGTCTTGGGTTGGAATGGAGAAAAAGTACTAGCAAACAGATCTCAGGTCTGTGAATTTCTGCATAGTTCTTACAGCTTAGGAGGGATAAAATAAGTCTAAAGGGAATTTCTGAAGCAGAGCGGCAGCGGCGCTTCAGAATTTGATAGTGTGAGTTCGGAGAAGTTTTGAATTCGTTTCCATCACTCCCTTTCTGCAATGCAGAAAAGTTGCTTCGGCTTATTGATTCTATCTTTGGATCCACTTGTTTTAGCTAGAAGAAAATATACCGTCAAAATTCCGCAGGAAAATCTACTCTGGGTATGAGGATGATGATGATGATAATAATAATAATAATAATAATAATAATCACCAGGTGGATAAAAAAAATCGAGACTGAACAGCAGGGCGACTGAGCGACTAGCCATAATAATAAGTCCAGGTCCTTAGGAAGCACTGGATAAGTGGATAAAAATCCCAAATCAATCTAAATATCTAGCTGTCAGTATGACCAGCCATAATAATAAATGACACCATAAATTCTTATTTAAACACCAGATTTCCCAAACTTTGCAGTCCAATAAAGAATATTAGTTAAACGGATAAAAAATAAGGATTAGAACTTCGGAAAACAATTGATTTAATAGTGCTTTGTTTTATACATATGGGGCAAGTAGAATGTAAAGGCTTAGAAAATACGGCACGCTTAGTAACATCAAGCACAATTAGAATGTTTAATGTGTGTATCGCTGATTTTTCTGGATATGTTAAGTCGGGAGGTTGGGGTTGCTTTGACATAACTACCGAAGTTCCTGCGGCTGACAGAGACAGGGACGCAGGAGTCTATGAAAGAAAGGTTTGATTTATGACCTGACCCTGTATTCTCTAAGAAAAAGTCACCTTAGGTAATGTGTAAGAAGGGGGGGGCAGAGAGAGGGGGGAAAAAGATCTCTGTCCCTTTAAAGCCAAGTTGCTATCCAAACACAAGTAAACAGAGTGGTAGAAAAGAAAGTGAAGGCGGGATTTTGAGGGGCGGTCTCCCAAGTTTACAGCCCGCTGAACGTTCGGCGCTGGGCGTGGTCAGAACGTTCAAGCCGTGAACATTCGACTCGCGAGCGGCTCGGGGTGGGACCGCGGGCGGGGACAGAACTCCTCGCCGCTGGAACTGCTGAAATGTGATGGACCCGAGAGGGGGAGTTTCAGACTTGTATCAAACTTCGCCGGAGTCGAAAGCGAGACGCTGGAAGAGACGCGCGGTCGGGGCAGAAAAAAAGAGAAAACCTAAGCGGGGTCTTTTGCCTGGCCTCTACCAGCCACTAGGGAGACTCTGAAGGCGGGAGGAAGCTGCCGGGCCCCTCCCGAAGCCACCTTCGCCGGCTTTGGGAAGCCCTCCCGAGACGAGAACATGAAAGAGTTGCTGGAGTTTCCCGCCCTCTCCGCGTGGATCTAAATGAGACGGCTCGGGCGTTAAGTGCCGGTGGGCTGACGCGGGGCTCCCCAGAGGCCAGGCGGAAGGAAGCTCCGGGGGGGAAGGCAGGTAAGCGGCTCCCGTTCGCGCGTCCGCGCTCCCGCGCTGGAGAGAGGCCGCCCGGCTTCCAGGGGAGGGTGGCAGCATCCAGGCAAGCGCGCCTCGGGCAGCCAATATCTCCCAAATGCCCTCCGCCAGTGGGAAGGGAAAGAGACGCGTCCCGATCACGGAGGGAAACCCGGGAAAGCTGTCAGCCGCCTGCCCGAGAGTCAGTCCCGATTGGCCTTCGGGTGGCTTCGCTTTGGGGAAGCGGGGCCCGGGGGGGAACGAGGCGTTTCGTCAGCCCCGAGTGGACTCCGAGGGGATCGCGCGTTTACTTTCGGTTTGACCGCTAGCCTAGTCGCGGAAGGCGGGCCCGGGCGCGCGAAGAACCCGGCGCTGTTCTGCGCTCCCGGCGAATCCCGTTAGCCACATCGCCGCACGCAGACAGGCGATCCTGTGGAAACGAGCTTTCCTCGCCTGGGTTAGACCTGCCCGAGCGGAAGGACCCGCGCGGGACGCTCCTGTGGAGCCGAAATCAAATCCACCCTATTAAAATAAATGTCGGGTGACTTAACCACGGATGGATTCTTCGCCCCTCCCGCCGCCTCCATCCCACCAATGTTTGTATACCTGATAGCTGGGGCGCATCAAACTCTATTCTTAGCCCCTGCTTGCTTCCCCCCTCCTTTCTAGAGCACAGTTGGTGGTTTCACTCTCACGCCAAAGTCGAGGCCACTGCGAAAGTATCTGCCAGCCCTGATCTTGGGAAGCGCTGAGAAAGAAAAGCCCTTCGCAGCGAGATGGCATTTCGGGGGAGAAAAATCGTGCTGTAGACGCCGGATTTAATTAAATTCGGGGTTCCGATCGGGAAGGAAAGTTGACAGGGCTTCCAAATCACACCCGCGTTTGATTCGCGCCTGACTAGCAGTCAAAAGGTACCGTTTTCCGGCCGTTCTCTGCAGGCGATTTCCGATTTGTCAGCTTGGCACCTGGACCTATTTATTTTACGTGGTTCTGGTTTCAATGGCTGCCGCGTTCAGTCCCATTCATAGCTTAATCGGTACTTTAGGGCTTTCCAAGAAAGAGAAAGAGAGTAGTGCTGTGTGCTATGTGAGAAGCGTTTTATTGCTATCTCCAGCTTGATTTCATGGAAGTATTAATCTTATCCAATGGGAAATCTGCATTAATCAGTGTACAACATGTAGATAGTTGCTGTGTCTTGACACAAAGGTCTTTTTGTTACGTTGTGCTTATTTTCTGAAACAACTGAAAATCCGCTTAACTGAAATAACCTCAAAACCATTTTTAATCTATTTTAAGCAAAAGATGTATTGCTGAAATAACAAAGAGAGATGAAACCTGTGTCTCCTTGGGTCAAATAGGCACACCTCTAAAAATGTGGATTTAGGAATATTCGTAAAATGTGATCCTAAACAACCTCACTACTTTTGCTTAAAGCTTTATTTGTTAAGTATCAAGGGATCTTACCAAGTTTACTTACTAAGCACTATTAAACTTAATAAGCAATAATTAATAAGCTTAATAATGATAATAAACTTAATAAGCTCACTTAATAAGCACTATTAAGATCAATACGACCTACTTCTGAGTAAACATGCATGAGAATTGGCCTATTATAGTGGGGAAATGTAGACATTTCTACTGGTAAATAAGTACTAGTAAGTTAAGCTCCCTTTGAATTTAAGCATGCATAGTATTTCTGTTTAAATGTGCTTGTATTTTAAGCAAATGTATTCTCACACATTTGGAATTATTTTTATTGCACCCTGATGTTAATAGGAAAATAATATAATCATATTTTTAAAACTCACCTTTAATATTTATTAAAATAAATTGTAGTTTTTCCTGTTTGCAAGTCCTAAATGAATTTACCTTGAAATCAATTTCCACTGATTTTTAATAGAATTTTCTTTTACTAATAGCACAATCTCATGCAAGTTTGCTGAGCATAATCCTAGCTTAGCTTACTCAGACGAATTTAAAGGATAAAGCATGCATAGGATTCAACAGGAAGGCATACACCTGCAGGCCATAAGTAAATCTAGTTGAATGAATTCAGTTAATATTTTGATGAATGTGTTTGCCTATTTGTTATGGTGTCTACGTGGGAGACATTTTTAAGATAAACCAAGATATTTAAGCCATTTAGATGGAACATGTCAGATAGTATTAGAATTATTCCCAGTTTGGAAAACATTAATTTGGAAGCAAGCACCATTGAAAGCAGTGCAACTTTCTATTCGGTAAATAGGCACGAGGGACATGTTATCGGGAAAGGAGAGGGGGGAAACCTGTCTTATCTCTAATGGAAATAGACCTAATTGTTGCAATGCTTCACAGTGCAACTAATTTAATAAAGGACAATTATTTAAAAGAATTTTTTTTGGGGAGAGGGAAGGGTTCCAATCTTTCTAAAGCACTCTCACTTCTCTTCTTGAACAGCCAAGGAGGCGGAGATGAGGGAATGCTGCATAATGTTTTATATAACTCAAAAACTCCACTCCAGATCTGCAGACTCGCTTTCTTAGAGAGAGTCCTTTAAAGGAGGAAATCATTTAACATTCTTCCCAATAGAATGGAAACTTCCGTTGAAAAGTCAAATGGTCCAGGTTTAGTACCGTCCTGAAGAGGTTCTCCTCCCCCCCAATCCCCCCCCCACTTCTCACTCGAGCGTGGCCTGACTCCCAATCCGAGGAGAGTCTGTTGTTCGTGCTGTGGACAGGTCCGAGAGAGAGACTAGCTACTGCTACTAAGAGGCGGCGGGCCCTCAACCTGCCAATTTCAGAGGGGAAATAGAAGCTGAGAGAAAGGAGGGGAGAAGCTGCAGCTTATAGTTTCGGTTAAAGGGGCTGAGCTAAGCGGGGGCTCCTTCCACCACACACCTCCCATCAATTCCCTCCCCTGCACGCTGGGATCCCAGGCAGCAAGAAAGGAAGGTTTGGAGCTCGCTCGTTATATGCGGGGAGGGGGGGCAGAGAATTGGCGCACTTCAAAGAAGGGCACGAAGCGAAGGAGAAAAGCCATCCAGAGCCCAGACTGAGGGCTTCGGCTGCCCTTTGGCTTCTGCCAAGCCCAAAGGCCGCAGGAAGGCCAGCGCAAAACCTTCAGCAGCCCAAGAATGAGGCGACGCAGCCGCCGCTGCTGCTGAGTGACTCTGTTACAGGTATTTTCCCACGCTGAGTGACAAGCCCCGCCATTCTTTGCTCGTTGGGGCGATGGGATTTGTAGTCCAGCATATTTGGGAGTCAAGGTTGGGCTAAATTAATTATGGATTCAAAACATGAAATTATACCTATTTTTTATAAAGGAAAAAAATACAAATAGTCACGTTTAAGCAAGTCAATTCTCTCCCCCCCCCGAGTTAAATTTGGCGTGGGACACATTTAAAGCTCCACCACTGGCAAAGATCGCCGCTGACACTTGAGCAAGCTGGGGGTGGGGGGGCCTAAATGAGTACGCACAGCGTCCAACTTGGATTCTTTAAAATACAGCAGTATTTCTAGTTCGGAATATAAAGTGGCCCCCATCTGAAGGCATTTTGGACTCTGCGCTGCGTGCGAGGGAGGGAGAGCCAGCCAAAGGGACTCGTGTGAGTCGGGCTGCTCAGCACAGCCTTGCAACTCCCGATTAGGTTTTGGTGCCTCTTTCTTTTCCTAAGCAATATCACATTTCCCACACTTTCCACAACTCCGGTAACAGGTTCCAAATGTAGCAAGAACGCGGAGCCGGGAACAGCCGAATTCCTACTGCAGGCCGATGGCCATAAGGCGACAATATGAGAGAGAGAGAGAGAGGAGGAAAGCGGGCGGCGAGGGGGGAGGGGAAGAAAGACAGAGGAGCCTCACCTGCTCCTTTGGGGTTTGTTGACACCAATCTCCTTCTTTCTCCTCCTCCCACCCGCATCGCCCCTGTTTCTTGCCCGCAGTCCGAAACCCAGCCTCTTCGCGTGGGAGTTGACCACCACCGGATCGGCCCAAGCTAGATCGCGATCGCCCGTTCCCGAAATCCGCGGGGGGTGTCGCTTCGGCCAAAGTAAAAGCGCAGCAGGCCAAAGCCAGCTGGGAGGACTCCGGGCCGTTTTCTTTAGACGCCGCGAACCGCGCGCGAGCCGGGCGTTTGCTTTTCTCCCAGTCGCTTATCTTGATCGACGACTTGCTGCTGAAGGAAGAAAAATAAGCACCGCGCTGCAGGCGGGCAGGCAGGCAGGCAGGCGGGCGGGGGAAGAGCAGAAGCGGCCACGGATCCCACTCCGTGGCCCCCTTTGCAACAGCGTTCAACCGCGGTCAACCTCAGCCGGCTACTTTGGAAGCCCGGAAAAGGCCTGTGCCTGGGAAAACTCTCTCCACACACCGTCCAGAATTCCCGCTTCCTATAGTGGGGCGACTCAGATTCTGAGTCTTGACGTCCCCCCCCGCCCCGCGTTTTCCAGATGCAAGTGTTCTAGTAGGCCTTGAATGTCCGTCGTTGCCTTTTCAGGCTTAGCATCTAGGCTGGACTTTTTTTCCAAGACAGAGCCTTGGGTTCAGCGCCAGGATCGGGACCCTGTGTGCCAAGGCCTAGAAGCTGAGACAGGCATACAAAGTAGAGACAGCAGGCTCAGAGCAACCGACCGACTCCTTTCCAAGCTTATGCCAACGGAGAGGTCTGGCTGGTATTTTCCCCCCTTCTCCCTTCTTGTTCCGCCCCGTTCCCTTTGCAAGTGAAATTCTCCCTCCTGAAGAAGCAAAACGATTTGGCTCCAGGCTCCGCACACTTTTATTCGCAAGTTAGTTCGGTCAAAAGACTGATCCCTGCAAGTTCTCCCCCCCCCCCCCCCCAACTC